ATGGGCTGCCAGCCCACGGAACACACAAAAGCGAGGGCTTGCAGCGGTTGTCTCTTACTTCTGTAGGATACCTAGCCAACGGAGGTATCGCTAGATCTTCGCAGGGTTTTCATTCTTCGTTGTAAGTAACTCCATCTCTTTCCACTAGATTGTACATGTTGACAGACCCATCAGCAAGCACGAGACTTCCGATCTCTCTGCACCCTCTCCAGCATTTGTCGCTTTCTGATTTGTTCTGTTTTGCTTTCAGTTAGGCTGTCACTGATTGGATTTGCATTTCATGAGCTAGGGTTCATGAGCCTTTTTTCATGTGTTTGTTAGTCATTTGAATGTAATTTTTGGCGAACTGTTCATGTAGTTTGCTCACTCAATTGGATATTTTTTCCCCTTACTGAGGTCTTGCCCTACTCTCTAGATTTTAGGGAGTACTCCATTGTCCATTGTACCCTTGGTAAAGCTTGTTCCCCAGTGTGTGAGCTCTTCTTTTATTCTTGTGATGACATCTTTTGATGCATAATAATGTCACATTTTAAGGCCTCAGTCGTCTGCCCTCCACTCTGTGCTTCCTTTGTTATAGTTGATAGTATGTGTGGGCCCTGCAATAGGGCCCTCAGATTTGTTCCTTTGTTTTCATTAATGATCTTTTATAGATCTGGGATCTACATCTAGGTCTTTGATCCATGTTGAGATCGTTTTTGCACATCAGGTGGGCTATGGGTCCTGTTTCACTCCCTGCAAATGGACACGCAATTTTGCCAGCACCATTTGTTGAAGAGACTCCCATTTAATATGTTTGGGCCCTCTGTTGAAAATCAGTTGCCTGGGTGACTACATTTTTTTCTGGAGTTTTTATTCTGTTGTATTGGTCTACGTAACTATCGTTTTACCAGGACCAGGCTGTTTTGGCTACTGTGACTGTGAAATCGATTTTGAGGTTAGGTAATGTGAGGCCCCTTATTTTGTTGTTCTTTTTAAGGTAGTCTTTCCGTATCCTGGTCTCTTCCCTCTCCATATGAAGTTAGTAATTAGCTTTTCCATTTATTTAACGAATGCGGTTAGGATTTGGATGGGAATTGCATTGTATTGTATTGATAGATTGCTTTGGGTAGTGTTGACATTTTCATGATAAGCCTTTACCAGCTGATCGAGGGAGAAAAGAGAGGATTTCTCCCCCTGTAAATAGTGACAGTCTCAGAAACCAATTGGAGCAGCTCTGTGGGTCACTGTGAGTCAGAATTGACTCGATGGCAGCGAGGTTTACCATGAACGTGGGCTATGCTTCCACTTGGGTGGGTCTCTTTAGATTTCTTTTCATAGTGTTCTGTGGTAGTCTTTGTGTAGGTCTTTTGTTTCTCCAGTAACGATGGCAAATGGTTTTATTGATGTCTTTTTCAGAGCTCTCTTCCTTAATATAAAGGAATCTGGTTGATTTCTGCTTGTTAATCTTGTATCCTACCATGTGGCCAAATCTTTCTATTGTTTCTAGCCATCTGTTTGTCGAGCCTTTGGGGTGTCTACATATAAAATCATATCATCTGCACATAGTAAGTTTTGCTGCTGCTTTGCCCACTTGGGTTACTTTGACTCCTTTTTGTTGTCTCATACTTTTTTAGGATCCCAGTGAAGACTTCCAGCACAGCATTGAAGAAGAGTGGCAATACAGGGGCACCCTCGTCTGGTTCCCCTTTGTAAGGGAAATGCTTTCAGTTATTCTCCATTGAGCAACATGTTGCCCATTGGTTTTTCATATATGGTTCTTTTTGCGTTGAGAAATATCCCTTCTATCCCTATTTTGTTGAGTATTTTTTTAATCAGGAATGTGTGTTGGATATTGTCAGATGCCTTTTCTGTATCAATTGATATGATCATGTGGTTTTTAATTTTTGTTTTGTTTGTATGGTGGATTATAATGATTTTCTAATATTGAACCATCTTTGTGTACCTGGTTTGAATCCCTCTTGATAATACCATAGTTTTTGTTTCATTTTTGATATATTGTTGGATTCCATTGGCTAAGATTTATTGAGAATTTTTGCATCTATGTTCAGTAGAGATATTGGTCTGTAGTTTTCTGTCCTTATTTCTCTAGTTGCTCTCAGGAGTCTCTCCTTTTCCCAACTCTTGGAAAATTGGACTATACTTCATCAAGATGTTATTCTTTTGGAGTCTATCTTGTTTGGGGTCTTCTGAACTACTTGAGTAGTTATTTTCTCCACTTATATGGTGTTTGGAAGTTCTCTTCCAAAGTTTGTGTACTATTTTCTCTGTATATTATATTTTTCTTTTTGGATTCTACAGGATTCCAGTGAGACATAGGTAGTTCAACAATCATCCAACAATATCATTAATGTTATATGCAAGTAAAATTTTGCTGAAGATAATTCAAAAACACTTGTAGCAGAACATCTATGGGAAGCTGCCACAAATTCTAGCCAGATTCGGGAGAGGATGTGGAATGAGATGTATCATTGCTGATGTCAAATGGATCTTGACCAAAAGCAGAAAGCACCAGAAAGATGTTGATTTATGTCTTATTGAATATTCAAAGCATTTGGCTGTATGGATCATACCAGATTACATTGGGAAGAGTGAGTTTTGCAGAACCTATATTGTGCCCAAGTTAACTCTTTACACAAAGTAGGAGGCATTTGACTAGAATAAGGGGCCTAATATGTGATTTAGCATCTGGAAAGATATGTGTCAGGGTGATATCATTTTATCGTAGTTACTCCATCTGTATGTTGCACAAAAATCGAAAAGCTGGACTGCCTAAGAAGAATGGCATTGGGATAGGTGGAAGGTTCATTAACATTTGCTGGATGGGGTGACTGAGTCAGAATTGACTTGATGATATTAAGGGCTTTTAGGGGGTGGAGTGGGGGCTTGTTTTTGTTTTGTTTATGCAGATGATATAATCTTGTTTACTGAAAATCAAAAGGACTTGTAGCACTTACTGATAATCAAAGACTGTGGTCTTTGGCATGGATTACAGCTCAATGTGATGAAAACAAAAATCCTCACAACTGGAGCAATAGACAACATCAGTATAAACAGAGAAAAAGATGGAAATTGTATAGTATTTCATTATGCTTGGATCCACAGTCAACACTCCTGGAAGCAGCAGCCAGGAAGTCAAATGACCAATGTGTTTGTCAAATTTGCTGCATGTGGGTAAGGGTCAACTCGATGACAGTGAGTGAAAGTGGTGAGAGCATACATGTTCCCTTGAGGACACGAGTGGTGCACTCCACCCAAGCTGTGGTATTCTCAGTGTCCTCATATGTCTATGATAGCTCGGCGGTAAATAAAGAAGACAGAAGGGATTGATGTGTTGGCATGATGATGTTGGCAAAGAACATGGAAAATACCTGACTGTCGGGAGAACTAATCATCCTGTCTTGGAGTTGGTACGGTCAGAATCCTCCCTAACACCGAGGATAGAGATGACATCAAATGCATCTTGGAAATGTAGAAGGTCAACGAAAATAGAGCTAGATTCTTAACAAGATGGATTGCCACAATGGCTGCAACATAAATGGCTCAAACAACACTTGTGAATATGACACAGGATTGACCATGATTTAGTTCTGTGAGGCATAGGTACCAGCTCAGGGGCAGCTAACACCAACCCATAGGGCTGGGCGCATCTGTTCCAAAGCTGACCCCACATGTGATCACGAACCTGTCGAGACAGGTTTGATGGTGATCAACAAGTAGTATTTTGGCTTAAGACAGGCCTTGGCTAGAATCTGGGTACTACCATTTATAAAATAACCTTTGAGCAAGTTATTTAATTTTCTAATACTTGATTTCTTATCCATAAAATGAGAACGATAATGGCATCTGTTGTTCAGGGTTACTCTGAGGATTAATGGGTATATTAATCCCGGGAAGCTCTTGACACAGTGGTCTTAGCATGCAAGAATTGCATGAATGTAGAACTGTCTTTTTTATTTCTGGAGTATGTTATATTTAATTAACAATATTCAGCCAAACTATTAATGCAAATAATCATACTTGTGCTTCTGATTCAGTTCTATAAGTTGGATTATCTGGGGAGGAAATGTGGAAGATTGAAATAGCCCAATCAACTTTTATTTTAGGGAACAAGGTCATTAAGATCCATGGGGTTTTGTCAATGAATGATGTTGTTCATATACATAAAATGATCTCGAGATGGGGAACTGTGGAGCAGCGATTCTCACATGCATCGGGATTCCTGGGAATGCTTGCTGAAACAGGTTTCTGGAATTCACCCCCAGAATTTGAGTTAGAAGGCTGGGTGGGGCCTGGGAATTTGTATTTCCAACCTATTGCCTTGTGGTGGTGGTGGTAGTGGTGGTGGTGGTGGTGGTGCTGCTGCTGCTGCTGCTGCTGCTGCTGCTGCTGCTAGGACTGAAACCCATTGCCACCTGAGTGGGTCTCATTCCAAGCGAGTCCATGGGGCAGAGTCGAACTGACCTCTAGCGTTTCCAATGCTGACCCTTTAAGGAAGCGGGCTGCACCATCTGTCTTCCATGGAGCAGCTGGTAAGTTTGAACTGCCAGCTCCTTGCCTGGTGCTTAACCACTATGTCACAAGGGCCCCTTGAGAATAATCTATTTACCATAAAGGTTATAATAATTAAATAATTTAATGGAAATTTCTTTGGAGAGCCAGACACTAAATATAGAAATGGTAACAAAAAGGTGCTTTCTTCAATATATGAAGGCCTCACACCAGCTATGCATGAGTACAACAATAACTATAAAGCTTGTGATTCTTTCCAGGTATTAGATTGTTTTAAAAATCTCCCTGTATGTGCTTTCCCCCACCCTGATTCAGTTTGTAACATGCCTTTCCCTCCTGTCTTTCTCTTCAGTTTTGCTTTTGATGTGAATATGCCTTCGGTGTGAAAAGCAGGAACAAGTCTTTTTCATTGCTTTGCTCTGTAATTGTTGTTATAAGCTATTCCTACATTGTTGACTTTTATTCTGAAACTTGTGTTTTTACTTTTATAGTATGGCAGAGAAGAGAGCGACTGGACAATCATCGTATCCTGATGAGACGCGCCAAGTATCATCTGTATGCCATTAGAACAGGCACCACGTCTGAATTAGGATAGATTTCCTTGGCTACCTTTTTGTAGTTGTGTACAATGTAGAGTTGTATTACTGGCATGTTGCCAGCGTGATTGCTTCCTTCTGCCAGAAAAAATGAATTTCAATCATAAACAGATGATGTGTAAACTTGGTAGTAATAGAAGCTTACTTTACCGTCTCTTAGGAAAATGATAATGTAAGCCATATAACCTAGACTTTTCTTCGGTACTTTTAGTGCCTCCCTTAGATTCTGTGGTGTTAATTCATTTTTTCTTTAGCATCAATTATGTTTTCCTCCTCCACTAAATGAGATGTTTTTGGTGTGTGCTTAAAACTGATTTTAGTAAATTTCACAGGTAACATTTCCCAAGAAAGTGTTTTCTGCTTGCATTTCTATTTTTTCCTCTGTATTCTTCAGTAGTCCTTTTTAAATCAAGCCTTTGAAAACCCTGATTTCTTCCCTTTTCTTTCTTTTCTTTTGTGGCAGACCTATAACTCCATCATAAAGTTAACCTCCTCTCTCCCATTCCATTCACCCGGAGTGTTAGTAGACCTGGACACGTTTCACCATGGTTCCTTACTTTCATCAGCTGTTCGTCAGTCTCCACTACAAGACTAAGTGTTTTATGCCTTATAGCTTTGTCGATCCCTTGATTGGCACAGAGTTAAATACCCAGTAGGTATTATGTACAGTGACTGAATGAACATTTAGCTTATCAGACAGTGTATCTCTTTTGTTTCTATATTGGGAAGCCTCTTCATTAGGATTTGTGGTTGATGATGCTGACGTTGTTGTATTTACCTCATGTCTTTATTGTCTACAGACTAATAAGTCATTCGAAATACTCAGAGGCATAATTAGTTGGAGCAATTATTTATATTTGAAGACTGTCTTGGAATTGAAGATACATTCTAGAGCGACATCTAGATGCAACCAAAGGCAGATGATAAATGTTGTTAAGTGTTAACGATGAAATAAATGATCATGTTTCATTTTGTGGGTAGCAAGCAAAGAGGTATATTGTATGTTTGTAGTCTGCCTTTGTAGATGGTCTTTTCTCTTGAACTGGGATTGGATGAATGAGTGTTTACAGAATTTGTGTGCGTGTATGCATACTTACGTTTTGTTTTTTTACTTCCATGAATAGCTGTAAGTTAAAATTGTACTCTCCTAGAAAAAAGACAAAATCTATTAGAAAGCATTACCCTTTGGAAGGTTGACTCTCAAATACAGTATTTTGATTTCTCTCAATCCTAATAACTAGTATCTTGCTCATCATATTCCATCCCCTTTCATAGCCAGAGGGGGGACATTCTGAGAGTTGGATGCATTGGGAAAAAATTACCCACGCCATTTAACGATGCACAGCAAATGGGATTTTGATTCTTTGCTAAGACTTTGTAACCCTAAAATCTTTTTAAATAAAGACTAGGAAAATGAACATTGTAGAAGTATACGAAGAAAAGAGTGGTGAAAAATATCTTTCAGGGAGTTGTTAATTGGTAATCTGCTAGCTACAAGATCAGTGGGTCAAACCCACCAGTCTCTCCACAAGTGAATGATGTGGCTATTTACTCCCTGAAAGGAACCCTATATAGGATTGTGATGAGCCAGAATCAACTCGTTGGCAGTGGATTTGGAGTTTAATCTAGAAGAAGCTTCCGGGTGGTTTTAACGTGCCAAGTAGCACATAATAACTAAACTCCAGTTCCTATGAGAAATAGAAATTACTCCTTGCCATGCGTTTATGCTTTTGCTTCTCTAAATTAAGGGTGGCAAGACAAGTCCATTGTTAAAGTTAAGAGTAAATAATAGGCATCAACCTTGTCGATGTGTGATTTATGTCATAAAAGTTTAAGGGCATTTTAAACCCTTTCTTAGTGTAGACTTAGTGAAGGCGAAGGATATGAATTTTAAAAAAAAACTTGGAGATTTTTGTTTAAAATAACTGGAAATTTTCCCTAGTAGAGAGAAAGCAATCTGCCATTCTCATTTAAGTAATAAGACAGGAAGAATTAACCTAGACACTGACTTGTTAAATAGATTTTTACAGGAACATCTGCACATCTTTTTCCTTGCGCACTATTTGTTTAATTGCAGTAAGTTAATACAGCAAGAGTGGCACATTATAGCTAGGCAATTATCCATCCTTCAAGACTTAGTTATCATAACACTAATTGATCATTTAAGGCGTAAGATAGTCTAACATTAGGAACATGTGAAGCTAATCTGCTCAAAAAGATTAACAAATTAATATTGTTGGTGATATTTGCATAATTGGCTGCAATTATTTAATGTTTAATTGGGTTGATCAAATGAGATTCAGCAATTCACATGTGCATGAATATAAACAGAACTGGTGGCACTTAAAATGATAATGATTAACTTATTGTGCATGTTCTCCTCTTCCCACTTTATTCACTTATTACATTTCAGACCCAGTTTGTCAGCTTTTTCTAAAACACATCAGTAGAAACCAAGGTTTGAAAGCAAAGTGTTCCAACATAGACAAAATCTGAGGACGTCATAAGAATATTTGTTGGTGGAAATTTTCTTTGATATACTCATTTATTGAGGATCCAACTCCGCAAGCCTTTGCGTTCCACAGCACATTGAGATGGGGATAAAGAAAGGAAAAGAGAAATAACTGAAACCTCTCGTTGGAGCATCTTTCTCCTTGCTTTGGTTTTGATACAGTGAACATCCTCTGAGTCCCTGGGTAGTGCTAACAATTAAATACTGGCTGGAAGGCTGGAGTGCAAACCCCCCCAGAGGACCTTGGAAAACAGGCAAAGTAATGGGTCTAATGTCCGCAGCCTGGGAGCCCTGTGGAATGCTCCCTTCTGCGCAAATGGGGTTGTGATGTGTCCAAAGAGTGCTGAAGAGGGTGGGTGGAAGTGAGATCAGAGACGCAGCAAGAGCACAGCACAACGTCCGCTGCATGGGCCAGCGGTGTCAATTGTGGGAAGCCTACATCACAGTGCAGGCATGCAATTCTTCATATTCATTTGTTTGTTTGTTTGTTTGATGTACTGAAGACAAGTGATGTCTTGCTTTCTTCAAATCAGAGCGCCCTTGAGCACTTGAAGGCAATTATTAATCAGCAGGCCTTAGAAGAATGTGGGATTTTAACAACTGCACTATCAGTTTTCTCTAGAGGGGCTTGACTATGAACTCAGCTACCCAAATTTATTTTCTCTCTCTACCCCCCACTCAACCATTGGATTCTTCATACAGCAGTTCCCTTTTAAAAGTATATGTTCGGTTTACTTTTATGAAGAATTATATATTTTAAGAAGAAACCATATTTGGTCACTTTCAATGAAATGAAGGTATTGAGGACAATTGTTTCTAAAGTATTTAGGATGGTAGATGTCCGATGGCTGCAGAAGGCAGATGGCAGAGGAGTTGAAGAAACGTTGTGAGAATCTCTTGATTTCATGTCCTGATTCTAAATATAGTCAACTAATTCTTTGTGGATTTCTTCTTAATTTGGTTATGCAAAAACTTTTAAATTCACTAATATGTTAGTGGATTCTATACTTGTCACAAGTGCAATGTGTTTTTCTGCTTTTGCTTCATAAAGGAGCCGAATGGTACCCGCTTTTCATTGACCATTACCTACTAATTGACAGAGGTCATAGAGATCGTAGTTTGATCAGGTTTTGTGATATAGGATTGAGTGCCCTCAAGTATGTGTCTAGCACAATCAATAACATTTGTTTTCGAAAACTGGTACATAGGCATCCCCTTCTTGAGGCGTATGACCTATTTGAAGTAAGTTTATGTGAAAGCAGTGTTTAATATGATTAGATAATGAGGCAAGTAAGGCAAGAGCCCACCTCTTAATAGGGAACAGAATAAACATTTTCTTTTTGTGTGTGGAAATTTGTCCCTTTTAAAAATTCTTAGATTTTTCTCTAGTGCAAGCTACTTAGATGAGGCTAGTATTTCGTGTTATGTATGTAAGCCTCAGTGGAGCCCTGGTGGATTACACATTGGACTGTGATCCACAAGGTCAGCAGTTCATAACCACGAGTCGCTCTGAGGGAGCAAGATGAGGCTTTCTACTATAAAGAGTTCCAGTCTTAGAAACTAACGGGGAGTTCTATCCTGCCCTCTAGGGTTGCTATGAATTGGAATCTACTCGATAGGGTAGGAAAGCCACTGCTTACACGTGTGAATTCTCTCTTCCGAGTTGACCACTGCCAAGCTGGTACCCTTGTTGACTGCGTTCCTTTTGAGCAACGCTGAGTTGTTATGGTACCTGGAATAAAAGAGCACCACGGATAATGGTGTCCTTGCTGTTCTAAACTCAAAGCTTGGTAATATCAGAATAAAGACAAGAATCCAAGAGTACATTTTTCTGAGAAATAGATATTATAAATCAAACTCTTTAGAGGTGTTTAGCTGAAGATGAAGGATCTAAGTACTTAGAAAATAACAGGTGGAAGACTAACTTTAATATAGCCATGATTTTTCACAGTTTGATATTTTAAAAAAGAATAGCAATGAGGTTCGTTTTTATCATTGCCAAAAGCTCTTTTAAAAATACAAAGGTAGAAGGAAATGATTTATTTCTTAGCATATGTAATAGTAAAAAGACTTCCAATACTTGAGAGGCAGATAGTAAAGCAACAGGATACAGCCATGTTAGTGGGTAAATAATTCCTATGGACACATAATTCTTTTATAAAGTGTTGATAAAGCATCAAATTCAGTCTTAGAAAATCAAAGTGGTCTTTGAAATCTGTTGGATACAAGAATTACAGGTCTATGTCTTCTGTCTGAAAATATATATTTTATATCACAATAGATCCAGTTAACACCCAAAACCTGAATCATATAATATTACATAATCCATGGTTGGGAAGCTACGAATTCAACTAGAGTGTAGAATGAGAATGAATTAAATTGTAGTTTCATTGCCTACTTTCTCTGTGGTGTTGGGTGCTAAAGTACCATCAGAATGATTGTTTCCAATCATAATGGCGAGGTTCTTTATTACCCATATAGATGATAGATTATTGGATTGTGGGCAAAGGTTCAATTAAAGATGTCAGAGGAGGAAAATAAATTAGGGAAAGAATTAAATAAATGAGGGGCTGGGGGAATCCAAGTTACTTCAGTGTTGTCCAAAGGAGATTTTTCTTTATTTTACATTGTGGATGCCAAATGCAAATAGTGCCAATTAGGAGGTGATTAAAAGTAGTTGACAATTGATCATATTATAATTAAGCCACAATCACGAGGTTATACACTGAGGATTCCGTTACATAGACATCACTGTGGGTGATTACTGGGTAAGAGGTTTTTTAGTTGTATAATTTGTGGAATTTATTGGGCATCCTTAACTCTTCTTTTTTTTTTTTTTTAGAACTCAAACTTCTTAAGGTGAAAATCAATGAGAGGAATATATTGTGACTTGGTATTTTTTGTTTGTTTGTTTTCTTTCCCCTTCAAAATGTTATTTATCACTACCCCTTTGTCCTTGGTGAAAAATGACTGGTTTGGAAATTAACTCAATGTTATCATTAGTTTTTGACTAAGACGTGCAACAATTTGGTGCAATTCCCTCAAGTTGGTTTCACACAGCTCCTAAAGCCATTCTCTGGATTAATAAAGGAATACGAATATTTGCCTCAGTTTCTCTAAATCCGTGAAGAGTGCAGGACTTCTTTCAAGATGGTAGCTGTAAGTAGATACTGAATCAGGTCATAGAAATAATCTAGTTAATCATATGTATCTATACTTTCTACAGATGTTTCTCTTGTGATTTACAAGAATGAATGGCACAATGCATCTAATTAGCGAGTGCGTGGGCCAGGTACACGGTTAGAATCTGTGCGTATTTGATACAGCAGCTCAGAGAGAAGTAGCTCCGGGAACCTCGGCAATTGAGCTGATTCCTGCGCCTAGCTCCTCTCCGGGACAGAAGGGCGCTGCTCCATAGGCTTCCAGGACTCCTCATCCTGATAGAAGCAAATACTCATCTTTCTCTCACAGAGCTTAGGGGGGCTCCAGCTGCTGACTTTTAAGTTACCGGTTCAAGCCTCAGCCCACTGGGCCACGAGGGCGCCTGGAGGGCGGGAGGAAGTGATTTTAATTGAGAGCCTGTCCTGTTAGCTGAATCTGATTTCAATTCTTGTCAGTGTCAACCCTGGCTTCCTGCGAGCCCTGCGTCTCTGGGTGTGTAGTGATTCTTGTAGTGATTCCCTTTAAGAAGAATTACATACAAAGAAATCAACATCTTGTACATGAGGCGTACTGGAAAGAAAGGTTTGAATCGAGGCTTTTGTTAAGAGAATTTAAGCTTGCTAAAAGCGGAATGATGGGAATCCAGAAAATACAGTAGTGGAAACTACCTCATTCTTCTCCGAAGGTTTTGTAGAAGCACAGTGAAACATTCAAAAATGGCTTCATTACACAAGAACCATCGGT